CCCTATCCCTATAATGATACTTCAAGATTATTTTATCGTAATGATAGAAATTCACCTGTTTTAATTGGACCAATGGATAATTTTACGCTCACACCAAATGACATTGGTTTTATCAGAAAATCAAACCCAGATATCAACGTAGTACCAAATATACGGAATATCCGTAGAGATGGTGCAAATTCGAGATATGCGGAGTACTTTATTATAGGAAGCAAAGAAATAACTGGTACTGGTGTCCATATATGTAAGTCGGGTTTTGTAACTGGTGTTACTTGTGGTCGTGTGAGATCACGTAATGCAAATGTTGAAAGTCCTACAGGCCGTAAAGAAGGTGTCTTGGTAACATCCACAAAGGCTGTTCAAGGTGATAGTGGCGGATCTATGATTCAATTCAGTTACAATGATTCGATACCTTACGTAAATGCCGTCGGTATAGTCGCATCCTTAGGTAACAACCCATACGATAAAGCGACATATTGTGAACCAATAAGAAAAGCTTTTGAATATGGTTACGCACTTACACATTATTTAATACAGTAATATAAACATTCTAAGCTTTTCTATATGTTTGGTGATGTCACGATTTTATTGAAATTGTGAGGGATGAGAATCAGCGTTTTGTTCTCATGGTTTTCAAAGCACATTTAATTTTTTTTAAGAACATTAATATTCAAAATACGTTTCTTTTATTTGAGAACATTTTATTCTTTCAAAAAGTTCTCAAAAAATATTTAATATAATTCGATATAATGAACTAGTGCACCGAAAGGGTTATTCAGGTAGAGTTCAGGGTTAATCTGAACCCATCTCGAGTAAATTTGGTTGTATTTTTTTTAATACCTATAGATCTGTATTGTACTGTATAATTCTATTGTTAAAAATTATTTCATAAAATTAAGTAATGCAACAATAGTTTTCTTTAATCTGACTTGAGTTAGCATAAATAGTCTCGAGGTTGGATTCTTAATTTGGGTTATCAGAATTAACACAACCATTTAGGAGTACTATAATGAACATTAAAAATTTTTTGAGAACACTAATATTTTAAATTAAGCTCTTCTGAGAGCATAATTTTAAATTTGAATTGTAAATACTGGTGAGAACAATTGCGGCTAAGAAATATGGTGATTGGATAGATTCCAATTTATTATTTTATAATTTTTTTCTATTATTTTATATTAATTATTTCCTTTTTTTATTTATTACTATTTTATATTATTTTCTATTACTTTATATTATTTAATTATTTCTTTTTTTATTTATTGCCATTTTTATTATTTGTTTATTAAACAGAATAATAACTGGTGGATCCTGTAATTTTGACCAATCTAATGTCAGGATCTGGTGTAATGCGAAAATCGAAACGAATCCACTTTTTTACAAGAAATAAGAATTGCTCTAAATTTTAATTATTAAAAAATTTTTGTGAAATTTAACTAACACGTACTACATTTTCTAATCCTAAACATAACTATTAAGCATTTTTTTAGCTTTAATTTGTTACGTGCAACTTTTTTACTTAGAAAGCAAAATACGCTTGTTTTGACATATGAGATTTTGTGATATTTACGATACGATCTACCAATTAGATAAATAAAATTTGTGATTATTGCGAATTTGTCTTGCATTAAATTCACATTGATTGGTTGATTTATTTAGCACAATGTAGAAAGCTTTGTTCGCTTTTACAAAGCCCCAGGCTTTATCTCAATCCTGTGGCTTGAAATTCTCACATTTATATTAATAGAACCAAAGTTTAAAGAACCACCAAAGTTTTTTAAGAACCATAAATAGTCAACTTTTACTAGAAAAATAATAATATTATCGTTTTGATCATACAAAAATTTTTATTGGCTAATCTATTTTTAGATATCACAAACATAACATGCAAATCCAGATGACATATAGTGTCGCCAAAAGAAAAGTTATTCCCAGTTCTTCACGGTTATTGTCCGGATTCCAGATTCGGACTGATCCGGAATTTTATATTTCTTTTTGATTATTTATCTTTTTTATTGATATAACGAATTTTTTGAATTTTTTAAATTATTGAAATTGCTAACGAAAAGTAAAAATTGGTTGCCAAAGAAAAAAGGAAGTATAAAAAAATAAAGAAGTTTTGTGATCATAGTAAGGATAAGGCCACGCAAAGTTGATTTTTGTTTTGCATTACATGGATTTCAAAATTCCCGGTTGGTCGGTTTGATTTTTTTTTTTTTTTTTTTTAATTTACGGTGAATTAATGGGCTCATGTTCACATCTAAGGCGGCACAAAGTTAGTTTTTCGTTTTGTATAATATGGAATCTAGAAAATTGGGTTGGCAGTCGAATTTTTTCTATGGGCTTAAAAAGAAAAAAAATTTTGAAAATTTGAAAAAAATGGGTCGGCGGGTAATGCAAAACGAGATATCAACTTTGCGTGGCCTAAACTTTATGAAATGCATAACTTTAATTTTAAAAAATAGTACGGAAGTATAATAAGAACTGGGAGAATAAAATCAGTTATTATTCACAAAGCGGTCAATAGTCAAACATTAAATACGAACCAGATGATCGGATAATGACGGAATGGCCGCCGGTTGCTGCGCAGCCAGTGGCCATTCCGTCATTATCCGATCATATGATCCGTAGTTAATTCTTGGTTATTGCACATTTTGTGGACAATAACTATAACGTACCTATCTAATAAGGTGGTGCCGCGCAAGACCAGTACGATCGGCATCAGTAAAGTTTATGCATATGCATTTGAGTACTCAGGTATATACAGGATTGAGTTATGGTGACTAGAAGTAAACTGGGTTTTTCAAATACACTGTACCGTTATCTCAGCCACAGAGCCTGCAACCCATTTAGCGAAAGTCCATGCACTACTACGGTAGCCGTGGAGCCTAAACCAAGTTCTTTGTACTGCTACCGCAGCCGCGAAGTCTAACTACCAAGATTCTCGTACTGCTCTACAGCCTAATTGCTACAAAAACCAGGTGTTACACTACTACCGCAGCCATGGGGCCTAATTACTAAAAACAATTCTGGTAAAAACAAGTATAGCTGATTCTGACAAAAGTTGTAATTACGGCAAATAAAAAATTGTATCAGTTTAAGTAAAAAAATGTAATTAATTTCAGTAAAAAATATACGGGTTGTCATATTTTTCTATTGGTTTATAATTCTATTCATTTTTTTTATTTTTCTATTGTAAATTTTGAGCACTAAATGTTACTAATTAAATATAACCCATCCACTCACTTGTAGAAACATCTAACGATCCACTTACCCTTTAGTCCCGCCAGTAGACATCTAAAAATATTTTAAATTTATTACTTTGCGTGGCCTAAACTTTATGAAATGCATAACTTTAATTTTAAAAAATAGTACGGAAGTATAATAAGAACTGGGAGAATAAAATCAGTTATTATTCACAAAGCGGTCAATAGTCAAACATTAAATACGAACCAGATGATCGGATAATGACGGAATGGCCGCCGGTTGCTGCGCAGCCAGTGGCCATTCCGTCATTATCCGATCATATGATCCGTAGTTAATTCTTGGTTATTGCACATTTTGTGGACAATAACTATAACGTACCTATCTAATAAGGTGGTGCCGCGCAAGACCAGTACGATCGGCATCAGTAAAGTTTATGCATATGCATTTGAGTACTCAGGTATATACAGGATTGAGTTATGGTGACTAGAAGTAAACTGGGTTTTTCAAATACACTGTACCGTTATCTCAGCCACAGAGCCTGCAACCCATTTAGCGAAAGTCCATGCACTACTACGGTAGCCGTGGAGCCTAAACCAAGTTCTTTGTACTGCTACCGCAGCCGCGAAGTCTAACTACCAAGATTCTCGTACTGCTCTACAGCCTAATTGCTACAAAAACCAGGTGTTACACTACTACCGCAGCCATGGGGCCTAATTACTAAAAACAATTCTGGTAAAAACAAGTATAGCTGATTCTGACAAAAGTTGTAATTACGGCAAATAAAAAATTGTATCAGTTTAAGTAAAAAAATGTAATTAATTTCAGTAAAAAATATACGGGTTGTCATATTTTTCTATTGGTTTATAATTCTATTCATTTTTTTTATTTTTCTATTGTAAATTTTGAGCACTAAATGTTACTAATTAAATATAACCCATCCACTCACTTGTAGAAACATCTAACGATCCACTTACCCTTTAGTCCCGCCAGTAGACATCTAAAAATATTTTAAATTTATTACTTTACTAATGCTCTAACAATATATGTTTAAATAATTGCAAATTGTTAATAAAAAAATATTTTTTTATATAAAGACAAAAAAATTGAGCTTTTGTT